CACTAAACTACCGAGTCTACAAGCAATGTAAAAAAAGATAAAATTGTGCGTGAATGAACAGTGAGAGGAAAGGGGTCAATCAACAAGTGCATAAAATAAAATATATTAAGATAGCCGACACAGAATGACAGAAAAAGACTGGATTCCAACAAGAGTAATTTTTATTAAATGCAGGAAAACAAGTAACTTATCCCGTGGTAGGGATCAATGAAAATGTTCCGCGCCAAAATAGAAATGCAAGATGGCTAAAGGCGGGAAAGGTTCTTGAAGGAGAAGAAGGTTCCAGATAAGTCAATGTACATGATAATATACATACAAGGAAAAATACTCACTACGAGTTTTTTTGCTAATGTGAGTGAAATGTTATGTATATATTTTTTCTTTCCTTTTTTTTGTACTGGTTCAAAACAGATTTATGACTAGGCCAAAAGGGACGAAAAGTCAATACTTGGAGTTGCATCGTCTCGTAGGAGAATTTTTGAATGACGAGCCAAAAAGGACGCAGAATTAATTATTTGGTGTTTTTATTGGTTACCTGTTGAATACGAAGTTTCTGCCGACGACTGTGTCGTGTCTCTAACGTCTTCTGGTCGAAAACGGAGAAGGTCTGACCTGCGATTAGCAAGTTGTTCGTCAGTAGGATATCCCTGTCTGTATTTATTGGTTCGCTGACGAGGGATAAAAATAAGCCATCATTAGTTGAATACGAAGTTTTGCTCACGACCGTGTCGTGTGTCTCTAACGTCTTCTGGTAGAAAACGGAGAAGGTCTGACCTGCGGGCAGCTTCAAGACGAGAAGAAGTCTTGGTAGAGTGTGAAGTCGAAGTTGTTCGTCAGTAGGATATCCCTGTCTGTATTTATTGGTTCGCTGACGAGGGATAAAAATAAGCCATCATTAGTTGAATACGAAGTTTTGCTCACGACCTTGTCGTGTGTCTCTAACGTCTTCTGGTAGAAAACGGAGAAGGTCTGACCTGCGGGCAGCTTCAAGACGAGAAGAAGTCTTGGTGGAGTGTGAAGTCGCCATTGTTGAAATAAGATATTCCGGCCCGCATATGGGTTAAGAGCACGGAATAAATGAGTTGCCCATCTAGTCGGGTCGAAAGTCGAGAGGCAACTCCTTGCAAACGCTAGCAGTTTTGAGACGCCGAAAAACGCGCGGGAAAAAAATTCAAAACCTATTGTGAGTTCATCAGTAGGAGCTAGCGAGGTTACTGCTATGTCTAGCTGTGAGTGGAAGGTAGGGGTGAAAACCCGCGCGCACACACGCACGAGTGTGAAAGGAAGGGAGGAAACTCGCGCGCGCGTAAAATATAAATGGAATTAATGTGTTAATTCCATAGTATTAATTTTCCAAACTGCCTCATGTATTTACTATACTGTCAGACTTTCAGCGAATTTTACTCATATAGATATCAATTAACATTGAGCTAGCATTAGGTTCATCAAAAGTAGGATTATTGATTAGAAGTCTTTCGATACTGATTCTAGTTAGGCTAAAAGGAATAGCAATAAGATTTAAGAAGTGAAAGAAAATGGAATAAATTCTAACAAGGCGATATTTTCATGTGTTTTATATATGATTAATAAATGATTAAGAAAATAAATAAAATATACTTGTATGCATGCAAAAATAGCTGAAAAGAAAACATTAAATGTTAGGTATTAGAACTCTGTGTGTGTGCGCGCGCAAAATTTAGTCAGGGGAAAATATCTTCAAGCAGCTCGCGCTGGTGTTCCTACTACTGCATGCTGAAAGGAAAAAAGGTAAAAAATGAAGAAACAGGAAGTGTCCTATTTTTATAGCTGCTTAACAGCGTTGACTAATGGTGTCTTGGTAAACCAGCGATTGTAATCCCACAGACGAAAGTGTATTTCATCAGTCGTAATCAATTAAAAACTGAATACATCATTTTTAAGCAATCATCAAAAGAAAAACATTCTCAACAATCTTTATTTTTTATTTAGTTGACGGGTTTTCTTTTGTGTTTATAAATTTCTTTTGCATATATTACTTTTCATTGTTTCTAATTTTTTTTACTTTACGAAACTGAATATGCAATTTAATACTGTTAAATAACCTTTCTTGGGTATATTTTCCTTCCTCTGGTCATGTGATCAGAGATTAACTTTGTCAAATGACAAAACTGAATAAATTCTATTTATATGCTGTTCGCTGTATCATATGATTTCTCTGTGCACGTACGTATGAACATCGAGTGTGACTACTCTGACATGCTTAAGCAATTATCAATTACTCTTTTATATAATTTGAAACGTTCATAATTATATGCAAAATGGAAAGAGCAGAACTTGATGTTTTAAACACTGCAAACAGATTCTGCTATTGTATGTCTGCTAACAGATTTGTTATACAAGGAAGGGATATTCCCAGTTTGCATTTCCGCAATACAGGCATTATTATATCCATGATACAGTAACACCTTGATATAGAGAAGTAACGGAATATCTGAAAGAAAGATGAATTGTTCTCAAAGATCAATTTTATACTGCTAAGTCATATGCAAAATTATATACAAATATTTACACTTGTCCTACACAGAGAAACAATAAGACATACAACAACAAGCAGTGTGAAAATGACGAAGGGACATGTGGTCTTACTTGTAATAATTCCTTTTGCTTAAAAAAATGTTGGTCTTGATTCCAGCTAGCAAAGCCACGACTGACTTTAGTTACTCTATGAACTGACGGCAGTCACCAGCCATCACATGACTCTCATGACTTCATCTCAACCAAAGAGAAATAATCGCCTTTTGCATCCCTACACTGATATATATATATTAATAAATACACATGTATCTACGTTTGTAGTTTCAACTTAGTTTCATGGTTTTTGATATCGTCAAGCACAAATGGCAAATAAGCCACTTATTACAATTGTTTTTCTTAAAAACTGGGTCTCATGAGAGGAATGATAAATTATACTTCATAGCACTGTTTAACTACATTGACGACTGTTTTGTTTGCACCCTAAATTAAATTAAATAAATATTTATTTGATTATCTACGTATGCACACTATCGCACGTATATACAGTTGCTAATATCTCCTTATTTATTTTATATTCACACACACACGCATATATATATATATAAGAGATTATAATAAAAACATTTTAAATCGCTAAACAAAAGTTTTCATGTTTCGATGCTATAATTGTACTTCCTCGGACAATGGCTGGCAACTGGTGATAAAATGAATTTTTAGAGAAATTTAAAAACAAATCGTTACCTCTTACCCTAAAGTTAAAGGCGGGTCATAAGGTCAGAATTAACAATATACTTGAGGGTATGTCTCGATTAACCAATTAAATGTCAAATCTATGCTAAATAGAAAAATACAATCAGAGGGTGGAGGTGGGTGAGTTATTTTTTCAGGTCACGATAAACCGGCATTGACGATTGTGGAGAATATGATAGCGAGAAATGTATCATGAATGTAGCCAAATACGATGTTCTGTTTGTTGAAGTGGTACGGAAAGTTAATGCGAAAATTTATTTTGGCCAATAGATAAAGGGATTGGCTCCGGGCTGAAGAAAAGACTAAGGCAAAGTTTAACGAACCCATGTGAAAATTTATTTTGACGAATGGAAATGGGAGCGGCTTACAAACTGATAAAAAAGTAACGAGCCGATGTGAAATCGCTTTTTGATATAAATAAACAGAAAAAGTTGAATCAAGTCAGAGAGAGAGAGAGAGAGAAAAAAAGCAAAAAGAAGCATGAGACAGAAAGCCAGAGTTCCACGTTGTCAAAGTACACGCTAATACATTATCAGCCTCTAATGAGAGCAGGACAATGTCAAAGAACTCTATTCAATTCCAAAGCTACGTACCTTAAAATGTATCTTTTCAATCATGTTGAATACAACCGTATAACTTTTATATGAAAAACGAATTCTCTCAATTTGTTTTAAAAGATGATTTAATATAAACATTTTCTCTTCTTGACAATTCATCGGAACTACGAACATTAAATATTTGATTCCTTTTCCTGAAACAAGCTACTGGCATCTTCAGATGTGTAAATTTGTAAATAAATTCCTTATCTTGTCTCGTTGAATATAACACGTGTGTTTCTTCGTCATTATCCCTCAATACTTCACCTCTTCATGACAATTCGTTAAAAGTACAGACTTTAAAAATGTCTTATGTATTTTCCCGAAACGAGCTACTGACTCAACTTCAAGCAAATAAATTCGTAAATAAATTCCTTATCTTGTTTTGTTAAAAAAAAAATACCAGTAAGTTTAGTCGTCATTTTCATTGTCCAGTAATCTTCTTGGCGTGGTTAAATCAACTGTTTATTTTAAAGCCTAAGCCCCACGCCACTTTAGACACACTAGCGTCACTTGTTTTCCCCAGTGAGAATCATTCATTGACATAAGGATGTGTGTTTGGCGGGGGTGGTGGATTTGGATATCGGCTGAGAAATTGAAGAGCTGAGTACAAATTCCAGTCAATTTCATTACATTTTCACTTATGCTGCATAAGTTATGCACAAATACCCTTGTTGAGACATGAGGCATGAATCCATCTCTTCTCGTTCCCCCAACTATAGGTTAAATAGCAGAGCAGACTGAGCTTTCTAGGCGTGGCGTTGGCAATCAGTTTAGAAGAAGGACAACTCTGAATTTAAAACTATAACAATTGTATTGTCCATGATCCCCAATCCTCAACATTGATGTTGAGTTGAGAAGAAGCAAAAAGCATATCAGTCAGTAAGAAAATTTAGAAAAATTTTATTTTTTTGTTGACATATTTCGCCGATGAATCGGTGTCATCAAAAATAATTTTAGCCCAACAAAAACATTAACGCGACAAAAATTCATGTTATGTGCTTAAACACTAGATTTGTTTCACACGTAGCGAGAGAAAAAAAATGCGGGAATTTCTATAATCAACACCGGTTATTGAGTAGCTGAATACCGGCAAAGTTGAATGAATACTGCAATTGCGAAAGGATATAATTTTAAAAAATGCGAGAAATTAAAGAAGAACTTGAAAGATTAAACTTACTTGACAAACACAAAAATTATGTCAACAGCCAGTCTGACCTGCAACAATATGGCTGGTCAGGTGAGAGGAAATCTAACTTTTATTTTAATTTTTATTGTTTGTTTACGTAGAAGTTTAAAAAGTAGAATATATTGGCGCAAATTACCGCGGTTAGTCAGTGTGTTTGACAATTTTGAGTCCTAAACAATTTTCAAACTGTTTGTATAAAAACTTATTTATTATTAATTTATGACTGAATTTGGTTTCATTAATGAGCCTTCAATTTTTAGGTTATTTTTGTGAAATAAATTCTGTCTCAGGAAGTAAGCATGTGTTAGTTACTAAGGGGAAAAAAACAAGCTATAAATGACGATCTTTATTTTTAAAAGAAACAATGTAAAAATTGAAAAAAAAAAAACACTTTTTTAGTTAGTTTCAAAATTAAACATTTCCGTTAATCTGTTGGTAGTGTAGGACTATTCAATATTATAATTATTTATTTATTTATTGCAAAAACAGTCCCACATTTTGGCTTAAGCCCACCACCGCCGTTCTATTTCGTTTGAAAATTTCTAATCTTATTTGAGAAATTGAGATGTTTGTTTGTTTGTTTTTCTTAGCCTCCAAGACTTAGAGGCTAGCAACTTTCATATTGTCGACATGGAAAAAAATACTAAAGTTTGTATAAACTTACAAAGAAGCCCCATTCAAAATATTCTATGTTGATCATCCTTTATAATATAAAAAAAAGAAAAAAAAAAATTAAAAAGCCCCATATAAAGTTTATATGGGGCTTTTTAATTTTAACGCGTTTCTGAAAACTCTCTCTAGCTGGAGACCATTTTTCTGCAGATTACTACTTTTTATTCCCTTTTTCAGTCTCCATTGAATTTTTTAAATGAATAACCTTTTATATTATTCCGCCTCTTCATAATTAACCTTTGGAAGATAGATTCATCAAAAATAGTGACAAGAAAAAAAAATAAGATTTTTTAAATTTACAAAAAATACCTGTAACTATTTTTCCCACTTTTTTGTATGACAGAATGGGAGAAGTGAGACAAGTATTTTAGTTGTGAAATAAAATATCTATTAGGCCTATTTTGATTTTCTATTCTTAAAATTAAAAATGATGAATAGCGACAAGCGAAAATTCTTTTAAATTGTTCCCCTTTTTTTTTTTTTGTAAAAACTTATTTTTAAAAACACTGATAAAATTTTATTATGTCTTCAACTTCACAGGAATTGTTTGTACAGTGTAACCCGGATATAAGAGAGATTTTCTCTGGTCCCAAATTAGAGCCATACTTACCTAAACAAAATAGACCAAACCCGGATATAAGAGACTTCTTCTCCGGTCCCGACAACTCTCTTATATCCGGGTTACACTGTATCTGAATTTGATTTGAGTAAAAAATGAAAAAAAAAACTTTAGAATTTTTGGTGTTTCTAAGTTGTTTGAATTTTACATTTTAAAAATATTCTGATATTAAGAAAAATGTTTATTATTAAGTCACACTCATTTATAATTTGGTCATTTTTTTCTGTTAATTATAAAAATAACAATTACTTAATATATTTCGTCAATACTATTTTTATTTTGCTTGTTGCATTAATTTACATTGGAGTTGCCTCCCTTGTTTCTTTTCAATTATCTGACAAGTGAATCAATTATGTTAAGATTGGTACTCTTCAAACATCTTATGTAGTTATTTTGTTTATAGGTTAATTTTCTTTCTTTCTTTAAAGATTAAGGGACCTACTGCAATACCAATGACTTATTTAATTGAAAATAATCATTTATTCATCTGCTTTTCTTTTTTACAAAACTCATATTCTGTCGTTATTTTTTTTGCTTACATAATCAACATCAACTGTAATGTTTGAAGATAAAACTTAAAAAATCTGTATGAGTTAAGATTTGGTAAAATAAACAAATTAGAGATTCAAATTAAAAGATATTAATCAATTTCAAACAAAAAACCTTTAATGAAAATTATTAAAACACAATACCCCTACTGAATGGATGAAAATTTAACGTAAGGAGAAACAAAAAATGTACACGGTACTATTTAATATACATTTTATAAACAAATGAATAGCAATGAAGTTCTTATTGTGCAGAGGCGTGTGTTTGTGTGTGTGGTTTAAATTTTGCTATATTTATGGGAGAAGAGTGCTGAGTATTGGAGGCATGAAATAGAACACGAACATTTGTAGATATAAACTGTGGACGGAGGATTAACCCCCTCTTTTTCTTGTGTGTGTTTTACACACACACACAAATTTGTCGACTACCATCAACATAAATGGATGGTTCTATATACTGAATTCCTCAGGCAAGTTGATACATCACCTCTGTCTTGTCAAGGCTGATGGACAGTCCAAAAGCCTTACATGACACTGATAGTCGATCCATGAGCTCCTGTGTGTGCACTTATACACAAGCACATATTGTGATGGACAGGCCATGTTATCCATATGGTGGATGACAGAATTACAAAACAATTAATGTATGGAGAATTGGAAATGGGAGGAAAAAGACTGCAGCACAAACTGAAACTTCATTACAAAGATTGACTTAAAGAGTCACTATACAAGTGTAATATTGGTCTGGACAACTGGGAGACTCTAGCTGAAGACTGGATTTCTTGGAGAGCTGGTATTACTGATGACCTCAAAATCTTCCATGAGGTATCACAAAAATATGCAGAACTGCAATTCAATCAGATATGTCTGTTCAGGGCAGGTCTGCTCTGTAACCAGAAATCACAGCAACACCAACAGTCTATTGCATATGACGACTTCATATTGGCATGCTTTGAAGGCCCAACCTGCACTAGGGTGTGCAAGTCCACGTTGGGCCTGACAAGGCATGTGAAAAGGCACATTGGAAATGATGATGATGATGATCAAAGTCAACTTCTACCACCTGGAGATGATTTGATATGCCACATATGTAACAAGAAATGCAGATCGATGACTGGCTTTATGAGCCACTGTTGTTCACACAATCGATGAATGCAATGTTGGCGGGGGGATGAAGTTTAAATGGTCATGCTCGCTTCATGAGTCAACACACACGTGTGTGTGTGTATATATATATATATATATATATATATATATATATATATATATATATATATATATATATATATATATATATACACACACACACAGAGTATCCCAAAACATGTATTCACCCTTTAAATGATAATAATTGCAATGTTTATTGACTTTCAAACAAGACAAATGTTTAAAATTAAGAGATATTAAGGCTTATTGTCCTACAAAGGAGATTAACAGATTAAATTAAATGCATGAATCTAAAAAAATATTACAACAGTTATAGGAAGTCAAAACATGCATGCATCTTTTTTTTCTTTTTTTTGTGAGTCACACACACACACACACATATATATATATATATATATATATGTGTGTGTATATTAAAAAGTGAGGTGTCGCAAACGTTTTTGGTTGTAATATGGATTTTTTTTTTTTTAAAATATTATGCTTTATTTTCCATAATTTTACTACACGTGTTTCTGGTCTTGCAACCGTAAAAGGCGGAGATTTCCACATATTATTAAAAATAATTCATTTTTTCCTTATGTTTTTCAATGTTAGATATTCTCAAATAAAACAATTAAGGTTGGTCCAAGCGAAATGATGAATTACTTATCTGCATTTTATGTTTTAATGACCCCTGTGTGTTCTTAGATCTGTTTCCATTTTCGTGTGTTTCTGTCAGCATGCATGTATATATGTGTGCGTATATTCCCCCTCCATACATATACTGTGTTACTACAAGGAATTAGTAAACTCATTTGTACACATACACACATACATACACATTTATCAGTTTTGAGCAAAGGTATATCAGTGTCATTACTATTTTTTGCAATATTGTTTAAAGTAAAAAATGCCTTCCATCTCATTCTACATAAAAATGACTCTACAGGTATACCTCACCCTACGTTATTAATTGGTCCCAGAGCTCACAACTTAAGTCGAAATAACCACACTATAAACTGCAAATATGCACTCCCCATTGCCTATTACAGTATTTATGATATGTACATACAGTATTCTGAATAAAATAATTAAAAATAATTTAGTGAAAACCAATGTTAAATTTACATAAACTCGAGTAAAACTACCTGAGGCGAGTTTTATTTTTGCATATAATATTTAAGAAAAACCGACATATCTTTGAAAATGACTTAACTCGAAACGACTTAAGCCGAGGTATCACTGTATGTTGTTTAGCATGGTAATCATGTACACATGCTTGCCAGAAATCAAGAATATTTTCAATACATAAATTCAATACAAAGCTATTGAACTATTATTGGAACTTAAGGGGGGATGAAAGAAGCCTAGTCATTAAGTGGAATATTTTATGGAATGTAAAAGCTAGTAAAGTGAATGGCAACTAATGTAGCCTGTGTCAAGAGGAGAAGCTAGCTATTGCAACATACAAGGCTAGTGCAGAGTTGTTGAATAGCCGGTCTGAGATCTTGGTCAAATTTAGGCTCATCAGGAAGTTAACTTTAAGGCTATATGTACCTTCATTTCTTCCACTCCCATTCTCCCCATTACTTCCAGTACCACATTAAGGCATTTAAGTTCTTGTGATGTCTCTGATTAATTTGCTGAGTAAACCACCTGAAGAGATTTTGGCAGTCAAAACCATGGTAGTGTTCCAGCCAGCGTTTTATCTTTTTAAGGTATTAAATCGCTCTTCAGGTTTGATTTTTTTTTTTTTTTTTTTTTTTTTTTTCTTACTTGAAATTGAGGACTTTTTTTAAAGTGTCCAATTTTAACAAATATCTTTGTGTTTGTTTATTTCTATGTATGTATGTATGTGTTATATATATAATCATTTAAATATGACAGACAAGGAAAATATTAATTTTTTTTTATTTGGTTTTTTCAATGTTCTTACATTTTTCAATTTGGTGGGAGTGAGTGCAAAAATTGTCCGTATTGTCCATTGTCCCAAGTGTTTTCAGCCACTTCTTTAGCCATTTTCAAGGGGTTTTTTTTTCGATATTATCAATTTCTTTTCTTGTTTGTCTGTTTAAGATGTAGTTTTTGTGCTGTTTGAAAAATAATAGTGTTTATTCCAAGCTTAACAGGTGGAATTCAAATTGGAATCTTTCTGTTTTAAAAAAAAAAAAACCTTCAACACACCATTTCTGCTGTTGAATAAAGTGAGATTTATCCTGGGTGCCAGATGTTTTATGTATAGGGCCTCTCTCACAGTGAGATTTTTTTTGGTAAGGGGACCTATAAAGGATGTTAGTATTATGTGACAGTACCAAAATTTTTGCACTCCCTTACTCCATCAAACAGAAAAATAAAAGAATGTTAGGAAAAAAAAAAAATTTATTTTCCTTGTGTGTCATATTCAACAAAACATGTTTAAATGAAAGGTTGTTTCCCAAATATATGTATGTATGTGTGTGTGTGTGTATATATATATATATATATATATATATAAATATATATATATACACACACACACACACAATGTCTTAGTCATGTAACCTTCAGATGTCTGTTGTTATCTGCCTGTTTGTTTGAATAAAATTGGTGCATCATAATTACAATTCCTCATCTGAAGACAGCAACTATGCCTCACTTTTTGTATTTGCTCCGAGAAGGTAAAATTATGATCAAACATTTCTGTACAGTTGAAACCAATTCCTTGTTAAATAGCTGACATTTTAATTTTCACTCCTTATTCATTTTCAGACTTAGAACTCCGTTCTTACCAAGTAATTGGACTGAATTGGTTGTTGTCACGCTACTACCATCATCATGGATGCATTCTTGGAGATGAGATGGGCCTTGGAAAAACATGTCAGGTGAGATTTTTGTTTTCCCTCCTCCTCTACTATTAGCTTCAAAGATGAAACTCACCTGAGCATAGTCTTGGGTATGGCAATAAACTACATCCGGTAGCAAGTGCTCTGGTTAGAAGATTGGAGGTTTTGAGGAGAGTAAGACCACCTCTTAATTGCTGTTGTTCACAGATCTACATTGGCCTGGGGTGGTAGCCCCTATTAGGGCCCCAGCTATGGACAAATTGTGAACCTCGCAACCAAAAACCTATGAAAGTATAAAAATACATTTTTATAGTAAAAAAAAATACCAGCAATACATTTTTATAATAGAATGACCAACAATACAACCCTAAAAAAGTATAAAAATACATTTTTATAGTAAAAAAAAAATACCAGCAATACATTTTTATAATAGAATGACCAACAATACAACCCTAAAAAGTATAAAATACATTTTATAGTTAAAAAAAATACCAACAATACATTTTTATAATAGAATGACCAACAATACAACCCTAAAAAGTATAAAAATACATTTTTTATAGTAAAAAAAAATACCAGCAATACATTTTTATAATAGAATGACCAACAATACAACCCTAAAAAAGTATAAAAATACATTTTTATAGTTAAAAAAAATACCAGCAATACATTTTTATAATAGAATGACCAACAATACAACCCTAAAAAAGTATAAAAATACATTTTTATAGTAAAAAAAAATACCAGCAATACATTTTTATAATAGAATGACCAACAATACAACCCTAAAAAAGTATAAAAATACATTTTTATAGTAAAAAAAAAATACCAGCAATACATTTTTATAATAGAATGACCAACAATACAACCCTAAAAAAGTATAAAAATACATTTTTATAGTAAAAAAAATACCAGCAATACACTTTTTATAATAGAATGACCAACAATACAACCCTAAAAAAAGTATAAAATACATTTTTATAGTAAAAAAAAATACCAGCAATACATTTTTATAATAGAATGACCAACAATACAACCTAAAAAAAGTATAAAAAATACATTTTTATAGTAAAAAATACCAACAATACACTTTTTTATAATAGAATGACCAACAATACAACCCTAAAAAAAGTATAAAAATACATTTTTATAGTAAAATTATTGGAGGCACAATAGAATAAGGGATTATGGCTCTAATTAAGGAATCAGATTTTGATGTCATACTTATGTCCTCATTACAATGTATACTGTCCAGATGAACTATACTTCTTAGTTCCACCAGCTCAAGCCTTCGCATCTAAGACCATCATGCCACACACATTGGAATGAACCACTCTCATTCCCTTTGTATTACCTTGGTGAGATGTAAGTTTCACTTAAGCAGCTCTTTACCGCAAACTACTGCCTTGTAGAGCCGACTCCCAAGGGGTTGCTTCCCGAATCACTACAATCTTAAACTGTTCAAGTCTAGGTATAACCGTTACCTTACACACATCCACATAATCTGTGCCACTTACTCTGTAACACTCTTCCTCAAGTAACTCTCAGGCCTTGTACAGTGCGAACATCACTGTGAAAAAAAAAACAAACAAAAAAAGCACTTTTTTGGATTTGGGCAAGATTGTCTCAGTCTTAACCATTAATGGCAAATGGATAACCTTTTGCTTTAAATATGATAAAATCAAAAATAATGATGTCTTATAATTGAAATGTTGATATACTTGCAAAATAATTGTAGTTTGATTCCTTATCTATTTCCAGACCATCGCCTGTACTCTTTATTTACGCAAAGTGGAATCTTTGCAAAGACCAGACATTGTCATCTGCCCACGATCAGTTTTGGAAAATTGGAGAGATGAATTCAAAAGGTATTTCTTTTTTTTTTCCATTTAAGCATTAATTTTAAAAAAGAATAAAAACAGAATACACCTATATCTCCAAAATTTAAGAAAACCCCAGAATATTTGACAAAAATAAACTTGGTTACCTAGTTACATTATGAGAGCCGAAAGATATTGAAGAGAAAGAAAAGAAATAATGAAAGAGTATAAGGAGATAAGAAAATTATGAAAGAGAAATAACCACATCATTCTACACATTTGCACATACACACACGTGATGGTAAAACCAAAGCTAATTGCCAATAAAATATAATCTGTATATTAAACAATCAATGTATGACCGACAATGTTATATATTAAGTGTGCATTCGTTCTGGTAGCAATGTTAAATTGTATTTTGGTCCTACTGAGAATCCTTTGATTCTACCATCACTATATAACTTTGGCTCCTATTAAATGCAGAAAAAGCACTGCTCTCTAATTATTTCTGGCAATTGAAAGATTCTGACAATGCACCTTCAATTAAATGGAATATAATGGCAAGGGCTAAACTGTTTAATAGCAAAGGAGAATAAATACAACCTGTTTAGTTGAAAAAATAATAATCTTACAACATTTCAATAACCTGGGTTTACTAAAAAGAATTGATGGTCATGTGTAGGCATAAAGATAAATATCTACTTAAGCATATAGCCCCAGATTAATTTTTCTACACCATCGCAGTTTAGTTCTCAGTGTAATGTATTTTTATTTATCTCTTTGTTTAACTTATTTACTATTTATTTATTACATATTATGGCTTATTACTTAATGGCTTTTTAATATAAATTTTTTATTATATATATTTTTTATAAATTTTATGGTTATTATATTTATTTATATTTTTTATTTATTATTATATTTTTCTTTAATAATAATTTTATATTAAATTAGATTAAGTTAGCTCCCTTTCATTATATAAATGATTTATAGTTGATAACTCACCACTCTAAAATTGAATAATTCCTTACATTTTATGCTCGTATAGTGATGCGGTTATTTTACTTGCTAGATTTATTGTCATGAGAAATATAATTAAAGTTTTTTGGGGGTTTTTTTTTTTAAATTATATCACAATATAAATAGTACTTAACTATGCCAGCATTACAATAAACTGATATATTTTCAAATTATATAAAAGTAACGGTCAGCATACACTCAGCACATAAAGATTGCATTTGGCATGAAACTCTGAGTAGTTCTAATGGTGTGGGATATGTATATTCATTAAAATATATATAAAAGTATTGAGGAAATTGTACGACAAATTGGGAAAAAGTTTTTGTGATGCATTTCATCCATTAGGACATCATTGGACTGGATTTGTTGACATTGTTGTGACTACACATGTATGAACGAGAGCTGCTGGTAGTTTCAAAACTTATTGTCCACCAAAAATCAACTAATAAAAATTTTATATATGAATTGTCCCCACAAAACATATATATATATTAAAAGTTGTACGGGAACTTTGTTTCCAACCCAATATATGCTTATTTGTATATGTCTAATATATTAACTCACAAGTTATGTTTTGTTTCTTCTTTTTCTTTTTTAAAAAAAAAAAAAGATTTGCTCCAAAATTGTTAGTGCAAGTTTATACAGGTGATAAAATTGCTCGTCAATCTCTGCAAGAGAATCTCACTCCCAGAGACAGTCTTTCCGGCTATCCTTTTGATGTTCTCATCACTACATATGAGGTGAGTAAAAGCAGAAGAGAATTACAAATAGATTTTTTAATTAATTTATCTTTCATCTTATTACTGTTGCTTTATATATTCTATTTTATAAAGATTATCCGCTTCCCAAGTTCCCATGTCTCACTGAGCACAATCTCAGTAATATTACTGTCATAGCACGCAAGATCTCTAATCTTATAAAAAGTCTTGGCTCTTAGAAAGCCACAGGCCCTAGCAAAGTTATTGAACCACTGCTTGAAAGAGAAATCCTTCCCAAACCTGTGGAAAGTGTCAAGTGTGTGCCTTGTTTTCAAGAATGTGGGTGTGTGAACTTCTCTCTCCCAATACAGACCCATCAGTCTTCTTCATATCATCAGCAAGCTTTTTGAGGCCATAATCAAAAAGGTCATCGAGCATGTAGAAAGAACAAACTCTTCACTGACGAGCAATATGTGTTTTGGTTGGCCTGATCCATTAGTGACATCCTACCAACCATCACTTACAGAATCAGTGAGGCTCTTGATGACAAACACAACTCAGGGACCATAGCACTAGATATATCTCAAAGGCCTTTGACAGTTGTGGTAGAAAGGCTTACTACACAAGCTCCCCAGTTATGGAATCACTGGAAGGGTTTTCTCGATTATAAAATCCTTTCTAACAGGTAGGTCCATGAAGGTAGTTATCAATGACCAGCCCTCCAGAGACCTAGCGGTCAATGCAGGCCTCCCCCAGGGGCCACTCCATGGACCAATCCTTTTTTTTTTTTTTTTTTTTTTTTTTTTTTTTTTTTTTTTTTGATCATCTACATAAATGATCTGCCTAAGAATATACTTGGGTCATTCGTAAAAAACTATGCAGATGATGCAACTATATACAAGCACACCTCTAAAACTCTTGATGATCAGAAATTGGCTTCTGAACTCTCTTCTGATTTTGCACAAACTACTCGGGGGGGGGTTAAAACTGACTGGTTACATTCAATGCCTCAAAGACCAAAACAGTTATATGCCATCATCACCGATCTGACCCCCTACTATCACCAATCTTGATGAACAGAGGTCCTCTTGGGGAAGCACTGTATCTTGAAAGACTGTTGGGCCTCAGACTCACACCCAACCTCAAATTGAGCTCATACATACGATCTATTGCAAAAGATGCAAATAAAATGGTTGGCTTCCTGTACTGCTCCAGTAAGTATTTGACCCCCTCCTGTTATCCTCTACCTTTAAAAGAGCTAGATCAGACCAAAAATGGAGTACTGTTGTCTAATTTGGGTGGGAGCTACCCAAACCTCACTCTCAAGCCATGATAGTTTAAAAACATCTCCAAGTCCTTGTGGGTGATGAACTGTTCTCCACCCTTCAACTTCTCTCCCACAGGTGAGATGTGGAAAGCCTCTCATTGCTCTACCGCTACTTCCATGAAATGTGCTTGGACAAATTACATTCTCTGGTCCCACCAAGGCAAACCATCACAGCAAGAATACACCATGCCACTTACATAGTTGTGACCATCCACATTCCCTCCATATTCCATTGATGAGAAGTAAGTTCCACTCAAACACCACTGCCCTGTGGATCTGACTCCCAACAGGATATTTTAGAAGAACAAATTTTCTACGATCACAGAATCATTAATCTTAAATGGAATCTAGGGTTTTAATGTAATTCTCACTAATAAATAACAAATTAATTTGATTTTTAAGAAAAATTTTTTAATTTTTTTAAAACCTAATAACTGTCTCTCCAATTTTGTTAAACATTTTAATAAATATAACAATAACATAATGTAGTTATTTTTTCTTAAAATTTGGTTTACAAATATTTGTAGTTAATTTTCCTTTTTAAGACCCAAAAAAGATTTAAGAAAATGTTTACATTAAAAAATGCAAAGAAAACTGGTTCATCGATTTTGTTGAGAATATGTTGGCTAGTCTATGTCTAAATATTTTAAAACTTTTCTAAGAAACTGTATGTTGCAAACGAGATGAAAGTCGGAAGGTCACAGCTTGGTCATGGCCACCGAGATCCATTGCTAAAGTGGAAATAGGGGAAGGTAGATACTAGTTAATATCAAAATTAGAAGTGGAGAGAGATGAAGATCAAACCAATAAGTTTAACAAATTCATCTCCTTTAAGTAAAAGATTCTAAACAACTTGGAACCTTGTATTATGAATTTGAAAGAAAACTAAATGCTATCTGATGTCTACCATACAATTTATAAATGAAGAAAAAATTTTTTCCCAAAACACCATTCTATGCTCAACTGGCTTGTCTACTCCAAAGCTTACCATCACACAGCGATTCTCCCAGACTAATAATTGCATTATCTTCAGTGTTTCACCATTGTAAAAGAAATTTAAATTTTGGAATGCAAATAAGAGATGTCCTCTTCTGAAACAGATTACCAATAAGGTCATATGGATGCCTGTCACCAGCATAAATACTGAATGTTTATTTCCTCAGTATAAACATTTACTCCATAAACAACGTGAAAGTCTTACCCCTGAGAACACCAAGTAGCTCACAAGGAGAGAAGTGATTAGAAGATAAGATATTTCCCAAATTAAGAAATTAGCAATTTTAAATTTGAGCAGTATTTTAATTTGGGATAAGTTGTTTTATTTAAATTTTAAATTAATATGTCTAATTTGTTTTTTGATATTTTGCTACAAAGACTTAATTACTGTTTTGTAAAATTTGCATTTGATACTTTAAATGTAATTTCTATATTATGAATCAATAATTATAAATCAATCTAAATACTTAAAAACAATTTGAATGTGTTCTTGAAGAAGGAAGCTCTGATTAGAAGTTCTACTTCAAAGATGATTATGCACTGTAACATTCCATTGTTTAATCGTCTAGTCATCTTACTTTCTTTTTTTTTCTTGGATTTTAACATTTAAAAAAACATCTGTAGATATTTGCTATTTCCTTACATGCAATAAAAATTTGAATTATGTTTTTTGTTTTCAGTTTTGATAATAATTATAACATAATGTATTGCAAATAAAATACTGTAAAAATGGGGAAAAAAATGAATTTACCAAAAGTAGAAACAAAATCAAGAAAAATTTGAAACGGAAAATCAGGGGCCCTAATGTTTCCCCCAATCACTACAATCTTGTTCAGGGCTGGAGTTAACCATTGTCTTCCACTCCTATGCACACAAATGGCCTCTAAATATAACCCTCAAGTAACCCCTGGGACTTATCAAGAGTGAACCTCACTGTAAAAAAAAAAAAAAAAATTATTCTTAAGTGAATATCATGGGCTGGAAATATGATAGCAGCTTCTGGTGAAATTTATATTCATCCTACAGTTGCAGTCTTGTCAAGGAAGATTTATCCTGCCCTTTGCATCAACTTTCCCACAGGCATATTGCAAGCTTGTCTCTTCTTCACTATTTCAATGAGCTTTATTTAGTTTCACCAGTTCAGACCTTTACTGCTAAGACATACCAAGCCACTTCCACAGTCGAATCATCCTCAAATTCCTCCCTGTTCTAGAGTTAAAATAATGTTCTACATGGTGAACTTTTTCCCAAGAACTGCCACTTTATGGAATAGGCTACCATCCTTAAGGCTATTACATCTACTCCTACTATTACTAGGTGTAAAGTATATGGTGTAGAGAAAATGAGACAGAATCCACATATGACTAGATTTCATTTCAACTTTTATATTGGTCTCTGTGGCCAAATGAGTAAGTGTTGTAGCATACCTACAGATGATAATGGGTATGACCCCATCCACATAAATACAATAGTTAATGCTGTATGTTTGTCTGCAGTTGGAGATTCATTGTGGAATTCACTTGACTCACTTTTAGCAGTTGACTACTACTTCTACACACTGCTGACAAATCTTATGTGTTGTTCTTGTCCTAAGTATTATTGTTCATTACCAACCTTCGTGTGATTATCCTATTCAGTAACCTTCCCTAGGTTACAACATTTTGGTGATGAGGATGAGATAAAATTACAACAGTAAGATATCATCCATATTAGACAAGCTCCTAAGGATCCGGATTGTAAATTCAGATATCTTTGGAGGCTTTTTTTTTTCTAATCCAATTTGCTTGCTTAATGTGTATGAAATGTAAAATGACCAAAGTGTCGTGAGAGGTTTTAAAAAAAAAAGGGACTAGTTAAAAAGTAATAATGATGTTTTATCATTTAAGATAATTTAAGTCTCTTACTCAGCTATTTTGAGAATTTCTACCCAACTCTGGATACAAGAAAGTAATCATTTATTCCTCTGTTTAGAGCAGTGGTTTTCACATGGTGTGCTGCAGGGTCATAGAAATTCAATGATAATGAATCTGTCAAGAGCCATGATTACCTACTTCCTAAGAGGAAATGGCATTTTAAAAAAGATTGTAAAAATAATCTACACTACTATATCTAAAAGAAAAATGATGATTTGTCTGTTATCAAATGTACCTGAAAACCTAAAAATAAAATACAACCATCACATGAGAATGAACACTTTTGGTAATAGTAATATCATTAGCTATTTCCTTATAAAGAAACATTCAGCATTTATTGACTGAGCAGACAGTCTTGTTGTCAGTTGAAATTTGTTAAAATCTTTCTCTTAAAACAATGTTTCAGGAAAATAGGTTTCTCAAGTCCAGTAATTGTTATTGATCTTTCCAGTATTGATGGTGGTGGGGTTTCTTTCCTAACCTTTTGCTTAAAGTCATGATGAACTCCAATGTCTTGATTATGTTATTATTTTCTCTTGGTGTTACATATATTAGCCATTTTAGTTGTTGCTGCTCAAGTGAAGTTTCTGTTATATGGTACACTACTTTGTGGTATTGTAAAGCCAATCCATGAAGTTCGAAGAAGGACCATCCTCACTAAGACCTACATTTTTAGTCATCAGTCTGAAAAAGTCGTTGTATACATGTGACATTTTGGATATTTCTTAATAATTTTTGCACCATACATGAATTCTTTTTTTTTTTTCTTTTTTCTTTTAATCTACCCCAAGCAGTGATAATGCCAC